CAGCACCCACTCTGGTTATTTTTAGTGTTATTCTTAAAATGGTGGTTTTTTTTTTTTTTTAATTGGTAGCCAATAGTGTTATTTTTCTTTTATTAGAGCAGAAGAGTACCTCAAAAGTTTTATTATAAAAATAAAAAACTTTGTTTAGTGATATATAATTGAACAAATTAATGAAAGCTAACCTAATTGGCCTCACAGTGTTAGAATATGTTAACATTTAGGTTTGATTACACTTCCAAGAACATCCGTTGTGCACTGGATAAGTGAATTATTTCTTTCCTTTACATTGAACTTCCTCTTCCATTTTACCTTTTTTTTTCATTCAGGTGAAGAGTCCAAATGAAGGAATACCCTCATGTGGAAAGTCAATTGGGAAAACCCTCTATTTCAGAAATAAATAGTACATTGTCACATAAGTCTTTTTTTTTTTTTTTTTTTTTTCTTTTTACATATTCTGGTCTCTTAAATACATTAGTGTTCTTTGGCATTGACAATGTAGCGTGACCAGAAATCAGTCCTAAGTAGCTTTGGGGAAAGGACTTGGTGGGGTGGAAGAAAATTAAAACTGATGGTGAAAGGCAAGTTTTGAATTTTTATGGCTTTAAGTTATCTGCACATTACACCCTCTTTACCATGGTCAGTTGAGGAGTAGCTTACCATTCTGCCACATCATCGTGGAACTGACAAGTCAGACTGTGGATTTTCTCAATCATAAGTGCAAGAATAAAAATGCTGTATACGTGTATCCAGGTTCAAGAAAGATTGACTTTCTAGGTCGTTATTTGGGGAAGAGAATACTATCACTTTCATAAAGTTGTGAATTATGAAAGACATTTCTATTGGGTTACCGAATGTCCCTTGGGGTTGGTTTCATTTATAACATTGCCTTGGGCCTTCTGCTGCATCCTGTTGGAATGACCTTCTTTTCAACCCTGTGCTGGCAGCTGTAATATGGCTCTGTCCCCTGGATCCTTTAGGCTTGTCACATGACAAATGTGAACTGTGACCCCTTTGTTCCTTACTCAGATCATTAGGTCTCTTTAAATTTTTTGTGTTTAACAACTTTGCCTTGTTTTCTTTCTCCTTTTTTCCTCTTTGATCCTTTTTTTATTTCTTACCTAGCTAAGAGGTTTTTCTGTAGTTTTTTTGGTAGTTGTTAAAAATATAACATTGATGCATAAAAGTATACAAATCATCAATTCAACTGCATTTTCACAGCACAAAACACTCCAATGCAGTAGTCCAATCAAGAAAGAGAAAGTCACCAGAAAAATTTTCCTTTCCCTTTCTGGTCTTCACTGGTCTTCTCCCTCAAGGGGAATCATTATCCTGACTTCTGTAGCTTTGCCTGTTTTTGAGCTTTATAGAAATAGAACCAAATTGTATGTATTCCTTTGTATCTGTTATTCACTCATTTAATGTTATCATGATATTCATCCATGTTACTCAGTTTATTATTCCTGTGTAGTATTCCATTTGTATGAATATTCTATAGTTCTACTCTTAATGGGCAATTGGATTGTTTCTAGTTTAGGGCTGTTATGAATAGTAGTGCTAAACATTCTCATGCATGTCTTTGGATGAACATATGACATATTTCTGGGTATTTACATAGAAGTGGACTTGCCAAGACATAGTGTATCCATCTATTTAATTTCAAAATTCATATAAAACACTAAAGAACAGATTTTAGGCAAACTCTTGGTAGGAAACATTTGTAAAAATATAGATTCAGCTTTAGCATAATATATCTTAAGTTTTGGCTAAGGAAAGTGCCTCTACATTTAACTCCAATATACAACAAAATTGCCACTCACCTACTGCCCATGACACAGTGTTAACTTTCTAACATGTACTTTTTTATCGAGTGTCCATAGCTGAAGTGTTGGGCCCATTTTGCAAAAATCATATGAAAATATTCTGATGGTGATGATTCACAATAGTTAAGATTACATCTGGATTACTTCACCTCTAAGTGGTAATGTTAGCAGAGAAGAGTGATATGTTAGTGTTTAACTGCCACACTTAGCTGAAGTTATAGAGGCTGACACTTGTATTTGTCCAAATTACATTCATTATCAAGAACCCTGCAGAAATGATGAGACACTGGCTCTGTACTGTGGTTGAACTTCATGATAAGCAGCCAGGCAATTAAGTAGCCAATAGTAATTGTTTTGTCCTTTTTAAAAATGTGGATTTCCCAAAATTTGTTTTATGGCTACTTTTGAACAAATTTAAGCTAATGAGTATACAAATGTGGTTGTGATATCATACCCCCCTCCCCCACCCCAAACACTGAATAGTATCTTTTAAGGAAATTTTATTTGACCATCAGATGAAGTACCCGCCCCCTACCCCATTCTGTGAACATGACTGTATTAAGTTGACCTTTTTTGACCATAGTGTTTCATAGACCATGAAAAGGACTCCTCTCCCCTCCATCAAAACAAACAAAACAAAAACAAAAATATAGAGAGAATAATTATAATTCAGTGGTTATAAAAGGCCAGTAATAGAACCAGAAGGTTTGTTTTCTATATTAGATAAATATCTTTTCTTATATAAGTCTTTTGGATAGAGGAAGAAGGATTGTCAGCCCTATCAAGATGTTTTTGAAACAAAGCATGGTAAAAAATGATAGAATAAAGGATTTTATTTTTATAAAATTATTCTTTGTCTAAGAATTCTGTATTTTTTTTTATTTCTTCCAATCTTTTTTTAAAATAGTGGCATGTATAAACAGACTGAAAGTAAAAGGATGGCAAAAAATATTTTATGAAAATGGAAATGAAAAAAAAAAATCTGGGCTAGCAATAGTTATACCAGACAAAATAGACTTTAAAACAAAGGCTATAACAAGAGACAAAGAAAGATCCAGTAATCCCACTTCTGGATATTTATCTGAATAAACCCAAAACACTACTTTGAAGGGACATGTATATCCATATGTTGATTGAAGGCAGCCTGGGTGTTCATCAGTAGATGAATGGATAAAGAAGAGGTGGTACAGCACTCCTCCCTAGCTCACTATCTTTCCAAGCCTCTCTTGGGCCCTCTCACTCTCTGTCTCTGAGAGGAGACCACACTCTGTGGAGTGTTACCCCTTTTCTAATTAAAAAAAAAAAAAAAAGAAGTAGAAGTGGTATGTATATACAATGGAATATTACCATAAAAAAGAATGAAATCTTGCCATCTACAACACCAGGGATGGACCTAGAGGGTATTGTGCCAGGTGGAGTAAATCACCCAGAGAAAGACAAATGCTATATGATTTCACTTCATGTGGAATCTAAAGAACAAAACAAGCAAAACAGAAACAAACTCATAGATACGGAGAACATTTTGAGATTGCCAGATGGGAGGGGGATTGGGAGTGTGTAAAAAAGAGGAAGGGATTAAAAAGTACAAATTGGCAGTTACAAAATAGTCATGGGGATGTAAAATATAGCATAAGGAATATAGTCAATAATATAATAACTATGTATAGTGTCAGGTGGGTATTAGACTTATTGAGGTGATCACTTTATAAGTTATGTAAATGTCTAATCAGTGTTGTATACCTGAAACTAATATATTATTGTATGCCAACTATAATTGAAAAATTAATATAAATAGTGGCAGGTAGACATACCGATATTTAGAAAATTGTCAATCCAGACATATTGAGTTTCATTCCTTTTTGAATGACACTGGTTCTGTTTTAAATCTGCATGTTCAATTCAGAAAATATTGCCGATAATCTACATTGGACTACTAAGTCCTAGATGTCATAGAAATGATGGTCTCTGTCCTTAGAAAGCTTATGATTTAGTGGGTATGGAGTGGTGGTGGTAGCATATGTAAAGGCAAGTAGACCCATTTGAAATGGCTCTTTAAAGATGAGTAGATTGGTCTGGGATGGCCTTTTGCTGATCTTTGCCTGTTGGCTGAAGTTAAGACGCTTTGTAAAGGAGCAATGGGAAGTAAGGCTGGAGGGAAGCCAGTGATGCATTTGTACCTGATTTGATGGATAGTGTTAGCACAATGACTAAGAGCGCTCCATTTATTTATTTATTTATTTACTTACTTACTTACTTTTAGGCGAGGCAACCCTTGGTTGACCTCACAGATTGCAAGGACCTTGTCATCTTACAATCCCTTATTTTTTATTTTTTACACCTACAACACCTGGACTTCCTAGGTGGTCTCCCATCCAAGTAGTAACCAGGCCTGACCCTGCTTAGCTTCCAAGATCAGACGGCTTGTTCAGGGTGGCATGGCCCTAGAAGAACGTTCTCTTTAGATAAAAATAGATATTGAGTCCCTGTTTAATTTTGCTGTGTGATCTTAAATAGGTTGCTTAACCTATCTGAGCTCAGTTTCCTCATTTGATAAATGGGACAGCACCCATATAACTTTCTGCAATGTTATATGAAAAAAAAAATTATGTGTTGAAGAAGATTTAATGTGTGGAAGGTGCTTAACAAGTGCTCAAAATAGCTACTCCGGACAGTGGGAGCTGTTGAAGATTTTTGAACCATGGAGTGGGGGCATCTAAACCATGTAAGGCTTTTATGTTTATAATTGACATACAAAAGACTGCACACATTTAGAGTGTACAACCTGATAGGTTTTTTTTTATGAAATCATCACCACAATCAAAATAATGACCATATCCCCTATTCTCAAAAGTTCTGTCTAAGCCCTTTGAAGAGGAAAGTCTAGCCTGCAATGTACAACAAGGGATGGAGTAAAGTAGAGCCTGAGAGCAAAGGCATCAGTTATGAGGCTATTCCTATGGTTCAGGTGAGACAGAATGAATGAGGTCATGATCTACATCTGGTGGCAGTTGGGCACCACCACCGCTAAGAGAGTGGGCTCCTGGAGGACAAGGTTGAGCCTGTGTCATTATTATCTCCAGCACCTAACCCAGCAGCCAGAGGGTTACATGCTGAATTGACAGATTTCCCTTTATGAAAGATTGCTATTTTTAAACTGATTTCTGCCTTTATTCTGTTTAGGGCTTAAAAGATAACCTTTATGCTTCTGGGACATCCAGCCTAACAGCCACCAAGCCATTGCTTCGTCCAAGAATCACGAGAATCTGCCTCAGGGACTTGATATTCTGTATGGAACAGGAAAGAGAGATGAAGTATTCTCGAGCTCTGTATCTTGCCCTTCTGAAGTGACCACTCCACTGTTCATCCAGATCCTTGCTGTTTACTGCCAAAGAAGATATAAAGAGCATTGTTGCACTGTCCTGACATTTCAGTTTTTGGAAAATAATTATCAATAGGGAAGATCATTGTTTACAGTTATAAACTTTTATTAAGTCTTACTTATATGTCCCAGGGGGTTCTTAATGACCAGAATTTACTTTTGTCTTCTGAAAATTGGTTATGAAATAGAGTTTACACAAAAGTAGGCATCTGCCCACCTGTGCATTTAATCACAGCAAGTTAAGACCCTGTTTGTTACTACCTGCCTCATTTGCCAGGTGAGGTGTCTTTCTCTAATATGGCCTGTATTGAGATGTAGAAGAAAGAAAGGAAGAGATACTGCCTCACTGTAAACCTGTCTCAAAGTGTTAGGTTTTCCGGGCTGTAATCAGAAGTTGCTTAGCTAATTATGACAGTCACCTTCTGTAGTTGATGGCGACAAACCAGAGAGTAGGGCCTCGTGGTGACTTTGGTCAGCTGAGGACCAGTGTTGTCAAAAGTGAGACAAATGGGCATAGTTCGTGCCTGAGGTTGCTATTCTCTGGTTCATATCACCATACGCTGTCTGATGCCAAATGAATGGACATCCTGGTCAGGGAAACCTTAAAATTGAAGCTGCTGATATACCTCATTGAAAAATGTAAAAGGTAGAAAGCATTAGAAGGAATGAGGGGCATTGTGTTTAAACTGATTAGGGGAAAATGGAATCATAAAACAGGAAATTCACTGCATATGACAAAGGGGGGCAGTGGTGGAATTGGAACTCCAAAGCAACTGTACATGTTTTGTTGACAGAAAAAAATCACAGGCTACCAAAAAGGAAAATGTATCAAACATTTCCAAATTACAGTATTTCAAAATGAAGTTATTTTTGTTTTTTTGTATTGTTTTAAAACGCAAGGACAGTTTTGTAAAATCTTTTTAGTTACCCTAAGTTTTAAGCATCTTGTTGCATTTAAAAAATTCCTAATTGATGATTAAAAAAATTTTTTTTAACAATAGGGACTCCATTTTGAATTCTACACTCAGAAGATAATGTCAGCATCTTACTCTTGGAGATCTTGGCTCTATATTGCGAAAAGCATATTATATATATTCATAGGAGGAGGAAGCTGATGTTTGCAAAGCAAATCCTGTTATCTTTTAAATTCCACCTGTGTGGCATGTAGCTGATGACAAATAATAGCTGTAGTTACAATCACATACAGAAAGAAGAAGTCCTTCAAGAAGGCTTTTAAAAAATGGGAACGCAGTGCTTCTTAGAAAAAAGAATTCAGAGGAAAAAAAACACCTCAAATACGTTACTCTTCATCCTGTTCTTCCCATTGGGACTGTTACGGCCATATTCTGTACTCTAGTTCTAAATTGGCCACTCTTTTCTTTGTTTCAGCAAGTTATTATGTAAAATGCTATAAATTATGTATATGATGAAAGAGTACTTTACAAAGAGATCTATACCCAAAGTTGTTTTTGTATATTTAAACGCTTAGCTTTATTTTTTGTAAAGTGCAGCATACGCTCATATTTGTGTATAATCTTATTGACTGGATGTTAAAAATTATTTCAAATATTTCATTAAAATAATTATTTTATTATAAGAATAACTTTGGTCATTGACTTTGAAAATCAGTATCTTTAGTAGTCAGCTCTGAAACTGGAGGCTGGGCAGTGGATCATATCTCCTGGGTGGCGAAACTTTCTTGTCTCCAATTACTTTAGAGTGTCAGCTTTTGGATTCCATAACTTAACTTCAGATCCAAGTTGTACTATATCACTTTCTTTGAAATAGTTGCAAATTTGCATGCTATTTGACTCAGAAAGCATATTCATTATAAAAGCTTTTTTTGGCCCTACAAGGTTTTTTTACCAAGGTATTCTTTTTCGAAGTTTAGTTTTAATATACCTTTAAAAACTTTGTGTCTTGAAGCATATCTTCAAGCACAAAAGAACAAATATCATGTATCCAAGGTATTCTTCAGCTCAGTTTGCAAAATGGTGGCCTTGATCTATAAATACATAGATTTGATCTATAAGTACATTCTCTGTGACTTACATAGGGTGGCCAATGTTTTCACAAAAATTTACATTTCCACTTATGAAAAAGTAGATTTGTAATCACTATATATACTTTTGTATAACAATCCACTGAAGCTAACCAGTGGCTGTCCGGTTTAGATATGGGGCATATATCTACCTTCCCTTATTTCATCTCTTTAAACATTGAAGTCTGTGACCCTCTGTCTTCCGTATTTGTCTTGGGTGATGAACAGTAAAAGCGGAAAGTACCAGAAATTCCCCATCTATTTAGTTTTTTTAAGCAACTTTATTGAGACATCTTACATATAAAATTCACTCATCCATTTTACTTTATTTATTTTAACATGTAGACAGTTTTTATTTTTTAGATCATAAGCATTTAGGACAAAATAAAATGTACTGCTTATAAAGTATATCATGCCTCTTAAACAAAAGTGCTAAAACATATGGAACGCTTCATGAATTTGCGTGTCATCCTTGTGCAGGGGCCATGCTAATCTCTGTATCGTTCCAATTTTAGTATATGTGCTGCTGAAGACTCATCCATTTTACTTTTAATATGATGGACCTTTGAAATGAGCTCCTGAACATATTTAAGATTCTTCTCTAAAAAAAAAAGCCAAGTTTAACATGTTTGTAAAGACTATTTTTTAGAACCTGCATTTCTTAAAAACCTCGTTAGAATTTTGGCAAAATTTTATTTAGAACTAAGACCATTTATACTTGGTAAGTCATGGTTGCAAGCAAAGAACACAAGCAAAATTAGGGCATATTCCATATGGAACCAATATCTCAGGCTGGTTAAGTTGCACTTTTTCTCTGTTCCTAGTTGTACAGTGAACAAATTAAGTGTTTACAAAACTTTGACCTCAACAAGACTCAGTGATTCTACAGGAAATAAAAGTATAAAATGTCACGTGTTTATACATGACCTGGTAGCCAGTTCCTATTTTGTCATTTTTATCATTATTTCCAGATAGTTTTATATGCCTCACCGAACTGAAATGACTTTATTTTTTACATGTAGGCATAACTTACATCTATATCAGTATCATTTTCTCTGACTTTTTAACCACCTCTTAGAAGTTTCATACGCATTTCAATTGTATTGGTGCATTTGCTTTTACCCTAAAGTTGTTCCACCAGTTACACATTGGTCCTCAGTAGAACATTTTTGCCATACTTTTATTTTGGGGACTATTGAGAAACCTGTGCTGTGCAAGCAAGAAACCTAAAGTGCTCCCCAAACTGGTAGGTGAGAGGAACAGATGTAAAACAGTATAGGTTTAGAATTTATGTAGACCTTGTACAGTGAGTACTTGGGGGAAGAATATACTCCCAAGAAACTCACCTTAAGACTTTTGACTTTGCTGATAAACCATAATAGGAGCAATTTTAATGGCAATTCTTCTTAAATAGAATGTCAGATTGACATCTAAGTTATCTTATTGTAGATGATATCGAGGCAATAATGCCCTGGCTGCTCATCTCAGTCCTGCCTCTTACCTCCTGGGCATGCTGTTGGACCTGCATAAAATGTGGCCGCGTGCCTGAGGTCTGGCCAAAGACATGTAGGTAGAAATGTGTGACATTTCAGAACTGGCTCATGACAACTTGCTGTGTGTGATCTTGTATTCTTCTCTTTCCATGGAGACCTCAGAAGGCTCCTGATGAAGATGGAGGAGCCACTAGATAGAAGGAGCCTTGGTGACTGAGTTGTGGATTGAAACAAAACTGCATGCTAATCAAGAACACCCATTTTGGATACAAGTGAGAAATAAACATCTAAGGTATATTACTATAGCAGTTAATAATATATAGCATATACAATAACTATATATATCTTTTATAATGAATAATACAACTATAGCAGCTAAATTAACTAGTACAGATAGCTACTGCTATTGTTATTTCTATTTTAACTGATAGGGATGCTGGCGTATTAAGAGATTTGGCAATTTAGTGGAAGCCACAGAGGGAAAGTAGTGGAGTTGGGATTTCAACCAAGGTCTCTCCAACCCCAGAGCCTGCTCTCTAGATCCTTACACTAAGCTGGGGATTTGTTATGTTGTGCTTTGTTTTTGTTTGTTAATGCTTTGGAACTAATTTCTGTCTCATGTGATATCTAAGGATAGCTATCTATTTCCTTTCCAACACTTAGTATTCCCCTCTGGAGGCCGAAGAGTCTCAGTTCTTTCATTTCTCACAATGTAGACTCTAGTTCTCAGTATTGTAGTTGTTCTCTTGGTCGTGTTCTGCTTTGCTAAAGGCCACATTAAAACTTGTTGCCCTGTGCTAAATGCAACCCAGCAGATGGGGCTGGAGAGTAGCGAGGATAGTGAGCCCGCTTACTGCCTTAGGTCAGAATTCCATACTGATGTTGTGAGCTGCAGAAAGTCAGGTTGTGGTCCTGTGAACTTGTGGTTCACTAATCACCCCAGGGCTTTTTCAGTCTCTATTCAGAGAGTAGCCAGTGGACCAGCAGCAGCACCTCTTCACTTAGGAACTTGTTAGAAACGGAGGATCTCAAGCTCTCCTCCAGACCTATTGAGTCACAATCTGCATTTTAGCAAGATCCCCAGGTGATTCCTGTGGTTATTAAAGTTTGAGAAGCACCTCTCTAACTGATGAATTACTTTTAGCAACCTAAAGAGAAAACACTACTATGCTCTGCTGTGCTTCACTTTGTTGGTTTTGGTCTGTTATTCTAGCCAGTCATGATCATGTAAGTTTTGATTCTGTCACTTGTTGAGGACATTTGAATTCAAGTGACTAAATCAACTATGCAGTTCATTATCCTTCTCAGCCTGTGTCACCCACAAATTTCATAGGCATGCCTTCTATGTTCATAAATGTGTTAAACAAGACAGGACCAGCTATAAAACCATGAAGCATGTTGCTACCCTCCAACATCAATCTATTAATCAACAGTGATCCCATTCTACAGCCAGCTGTAAGTGTATCTGACTGAGTACCACTGCAGAGGACACAGAGTTTTCATGAGCAGCCCTGGAGAACTTGCTCTGTTATATGTACTACCTAGCACATGGTTAACCAGCCTAGCAGCCATTTCAAAGAAGAACATGACAGTGGGTTAGACCAGCGGTCCCCAACCTTTTTGGCACCAGGGACCGGTACTCCTATGAGAATCTAATGCCTGATGATCTGAGGTGGAGCTGAGGCGGTGATGCTAACCTGGGAAGAAAGACCTCAGAAACCCAACCTTGCTGACACTTTGCTCTCAGACTTCAAGGTTCCAGGATCATGAGAAAATAAATGTCTGTTGTTTAAGGCCCCCTATTCTTGATACTTTGATGCGGTAGCCCGAGCAAACTCCTACACCATGCCTTCCCCTCTTCTGCCATTGCTCTTTAGGGAAATTAGTCATCTGGCTCTGGCAAGTCGATCTGAGGTAGTACCTTACTGTCTGTGTGAGAAGCATGGGCATAAACTATATTACACTTAAAGTGCCTCAGGGGAGATGGCTACAAGTCCCAGGGGAAGTAAAGGATTGCCTCAAAGGGAGGAATCGCCTCTGTATCGTCTAAGATACAGAGGAATCTTCAGAGTGTCTGCATTCATGGGGTTTCATCAGAGTTTCCAGGGAAAGTCAGAATATAACGCCCCTGAGGCTTCTGGGAAAATGAAAAAGTCATTCATTATACAGCACAAACTCTAGCAGCCCCGTCATCTTGTCCCTTCAATGTCAGAATCCCTTTCTTTCAACTCTAGTGCTTCTGATGTGACACTGCCACAGCCACTCTGTGCTTCTCCTACTAAGTCTTCTGCTACTGCTCTTGTCCTCTATTTAGTGCCTCCTTGCACATTTTTGCATCTGGGCACAATTCTTTGTGTGTCACATTCAAACCTCCTAAGAGGAAGTAGTTGGGTGTTTTAAGTGCTCTTCTTTTGGGATCTCATAGGTGGCCACCCTGTAGATGGCTGCTCTGGTGTCAGGTGCTGGTTCTCAGTGCAGACAGCTGTGACCAGCAGGGCAATCTCATAGATACAAAGCAAGACAGATCACGTGCAAGGAAGCTCCCTTGGCAGTGTCGTTTAGAGGGAGGCTTTAGCATGACGAGCATGATATATCTTGCCACCAGAAGTGTGGTTCATGGACCAATAGCATGGGCATCACCAAGAACTTGTTAGATGCAAAACCTCAGCTCCCACCCGCACCGAGCTGCTCAGAATCTGCATTTTAACAGGTGTTCAGGGAATTTGTGTGTGTGATAAATTTGAGAAACATTGCTCTGTTAACACTCTCACTGATTTTTAGTAAATCTGGACTTTTCTGTATGTTAGCTTTGCTTAGAACTTCATACCCCTGTGGGTCAGATCCAGGCTTAGGAATTTCAAAGCTGTACTGAACCTTAGCCATATAATCAGATTGCAGAATGAGAAGTTAAAGCCCAGAGAGATCAGGTAGTTTGCCTGAGGGCACAGCAGTAGACTGCATTTAATTATGCACAATTTTCTAGGAACACTGGTAATATAAAAATACATTTTCTTATGTAACCTGGCAATGCTGAGTCAGTTTCTGAGCCAGGTAAATCTAAAAATACGC